TTCCCAGTACCTTCTGGACTGAGATGAAAACAAATTTCTCAGTTTAAAACTCAAGGTCCTTAATTTGAGCGTAAAGCTGTTGTGTTACCGATTTATAACAGTTCTCATCTCTCTCTTCCCCTTCCTCAGCGATTTAAGCTTCAATTCACTGCTTCACGTGGATGAAGACAGCTTTCAAAATGTGACATCCGTCAAGACACTGTAAGTATCAATCGAATAGTCATTTATTTCATAGTGACAGAGCAACTTTTCTGCCCCGTAGTCTGGTGCAAAGTCGATGATCACATTTGTCTCAGCAATCGATATTTCTTTTCTTTTTGTCGCAGGAGACTTGATTTTAACTTTCTTCGAGCTCTTCCTGTTGGGGCCTTGAAGGGACTACCCAATTTACGCGTACTGTGAGTTTCATGTGAACAATGTTACTCTTGTCCTATGAGTTCTCCTTGGGACATAAATGTGCTTAGGTCGAACTTTGCACTTTGGAAAGAGAGAACGAGAGTACGGGGAAAGGGGTTTTATGTTATGACCTATTTTAAAGTGAGTAAAAGAGATTGATTGTTTTATTTCAGTGACTTAGGACGGAACCTTCTTCGGGTTGTATTCGGCGAGATGCTCGATGGACTTTCGAATTTGGAAGTTTTGTATGTACTCATTTTCACTATTCTGATAGTTTTAAGTCTATGATAATTAGCTTAATCACCTCACCTCTCTGTTTTGTTTTCAGGAGTTTTCGCTCTAACCAGATCGAGCTGCTGGAATACGGTGCTTTTAAGAACAAAAGTAATATGACTCATCTGTAAGTGCACTAAAATGGTCCCCAGCTCACTCAGGTCACACTTGGTCACTCAGTATTTACTAACACCAGTTGATTTTGAATGTCATCGGAAAAAAATCAATGGAAAACATGTGACCGGCCAATAGAACCATGGGCCTGATTTCCTTAAGAGTGGGTAGCTCTATACAATGGATAAATTTATATCTGGTGGATAGCACAGTATGTTTTGTCAACGCTTATACGCTGGACAGCTATTTATCGATTGGATAGCGTTATCCGCCCTTTGAAAAGCTAGGCTCTATTTTTTCTGCCAATCAGCAGATACAAGTTTCTTTCTTTTAATTTTTTTTTTTTAATTTTTCATTTTCCAACAATATTATTCTTGTGCACATTTAGGTACCTACAACATAACAAACTCAAAGAAGTGTCAAATGGGATGTTC